GGGAAGGCCTCGGCGCGGCTATGGCCACGTCCGCCCCTCGCGCAGCCAGCCTGCGGCTCGAGCCAGTCGCCCGGGCGGTCCCGAAATCTAGCAGCGCTGCAGTCCCGGCGCAGTTAGGAAGTCGCAGTCCTGCGAACAGGGTCGGACCAGCTTTGGAAGCAGGTCGTGGCCGTGTTTACCGTTAGCGGCGCCAGATACCTACGCGTGGGGTTACGTCTCGGACTTGCGTCTAACCTCTCTGGAGGCGACCTTCGGTTTCCTGAATCCATCACCTTTACTTGCCTGCCTGCCCATTTTCCACATTCAAAACCCAAGCCCTTACCAGTTTAGCTCTGTCCTTGCTTTGGTAAGGAGCCCTGGTGGCGCTGTGGCTAAGCACTCAGGTGCTAACTGGTTGGAACTCAAAACTGGTGGTCTGCTTCCCTAGAGTGACAGCCTTGGGAACCCTGTGGGGCCGTTCTGTTCTGCCCTATATAGGCTCGCTGTGAGTCAGAACCGATTCAAGGGCAACAGGTTTGGGTTACTGTGAGTGATTTAAAGTGGTCCCGGGGATTAAGCATTAGGCTGGTGGGTCTGTGGTTGGACCCCATCAGCAGCTTGACAGGAGAAAGATGTGGCAGTCTGTCATCCTAAAGTTTGACAGCCTCGGAAACTCTATGGAGCAGCCCTGCTCTGCCCTTTAGAGCCACTGTGAATTGAGATCTACTTGATGCCAATAGGTTTTACAGTAAATAAGGAGTCTTGTGGCACTGTAGCATACGCACTGGACTGCTAACCACAAGTTCGGTAGTTCGAACCCAACAGCCACTCTTTGGAAACCCTTTACAGGATCGTTGTGAGTTGGAATGAACTCGACAGCACTTAACAAGATAGTATAACCGGTTATTCTCAAGTCAATTCTAGCTCACGGTAAGCCCTTGCATGTTGGAAAATTACTGCTAAGACAATTTACTGTTTCAGAAGCAAATTGCCAGACCTTTCTTTCAAGGTACATCTGGGTGAACTTGAACCTCCAATTTTTCTGAGTGTACTATCCAGGGACTCTTCTTTTCTCCTAAACCAAAAATAAAACAGCTGCAACTGAGTTGATCCCGACCCCTAGTGACCCCATGGGTGAAAAACTGTGCTCCATAGAATTTTCAGTGGCTGATGTTTGGGAAATAGATTGCTGGTGAGTTAGTTTTTTGAACGTGAGCAATGGATATGTCCTCTTATTTGTCTGCCTTAATTGTAAGTGTTTTGTAGTATTCAACCAATACCAGTTCTGGTGTGATGTTGTAGGATAAGCACTGGACTGCTGGCCACAAGGTTGGTGATTCAAACTCACTAGTCACTCCTTGGAAACCCTACACAGTCGGAACCAATTCCACAGCACTTAACAATACAGAATAATTAGGAACACTGGTGCGCTGTAGGCTGAGCGATGGACTGCTAA